AGGAATGCGAACCTTGACGTGCTTACCTATTGGAAAGCCAATCAGTTTAGGTATCCCGTGCTTGCTCAAATGGCTCGTGATATATTGAGCATTCCAATCACTACAGTTGCTTCTGAGTCTGCGTTTAGTGTTGGTGGTCGGGTTCTTGATCAATATCGTAGTGCACTTAAACCAGAAAATGTGGAGGCTTTGGTATGCACGAGGGATTGGCTTTTTGGTTTGAAAGGTAAATAACTTATAATAATTTTCAAATTATATTTTTATTATTGTAGAAAATAGTGAAGTAATAAATTTTTTGTGTATGTTTTACTATAGATACAATGAAGCTTCAAGTGGATGACTTGATTGATAATGTGATGAAACTTAATATCAACAATGATGACCCTGTTGAAGGCCAATGTTCCACCAGTGTTAGCGTGACCGAATATTAAAATCCAGCTAGGTAAAAAAGCCCTTTACATTTGTTTTATTTTTCACATAATTTGTTATATGCAATCTTTTATATTTCAATCTCTTTTTTTTTTTTTTAATTATTATTATCTAAACTTATTTTACACTTACCTATTTTGTAGGAATTTCTACTTTTGGGTGTTTCAGAAAAGAGTGCATGCAAATTCCAGAAGGAAGTTTTTGAGTTGTGGATTTTTGGCTTTTAAGAAGATTGCATGTTACTTGACATTTCTATTAAATATTTTTATTTCGGTCTGTAATAACTTATGACTTATCTTTATTTCAGTTTGTAACTTATGACTTGTGACTTAATCTTTATCTTTGGCATTTAATCTCTCTTTTGGATGTTTGCTAGTATTTTAATCTTTGGGCCTTAGCCATTTTAAACAGGTTAAACGGGTTAAACATGTTAAACAGGTTAAACGGGTTAAACAAGTTAAACGGTAAACATGTTAAATAGGTCGTTAAACACGTCGTGTTTGGTGTGTCTAACACGACACGTTTATTAAACGTGTTACATGTGTCGTGTCGTGTTACCCGTTTAATAAGCATGTCGTGTTCGGGTTTAGGATATGTGACACGATTATTAATCGTGTCGTGTTCGGGTTGACCTGTTTAGTGTTATACCCCTACTTCAACACGACACGATTATGACACGCGAACCCGAATTGCCACCCCTAATTGTGGTAGTTGACTACCTAAATTAGCAACAGTATATTTAAAATTGGCAATACCAGACCACACTAATTTAATATTTTGATGGCACAAGTTAATTATATTTAATCAACATATATCACTTTAATTTGTACCTATCTAATGATGCCATTGAATTGGGGATAACCAACATTACAAATCCAGATAAGTTCATTCTTTACGAGACTGGCTAATTTAACTTGACAGTGCCTGTTGTCTTTCCTAAAAAAAGTTTGTAATTTTTTAGGTTTCAATCTTTTTTTTGACAGATTGTCTATAATTAGCTAACAATCCCAAAATATGCATACCATGCTTATATATTATGGTGTATCATGCATGAATATCACAATTACTAAAATTAAAAATTAAAAATAAATCTGATTGTGAGTTTATCATCCAACATCAAATCATGTATCCTACGGGCTTTTTTTCCCGGTTTGTGCAAAGTCAGAGCCGAATTCACTATGGTGCATCCAAGAGATTATTCCGACAGATGCAGGGAACGAGCTCTGGCTCAAGGAGGAATGGTATGTCAAAATGCACATCCGCGCTCGGTTCTCGAACTTCTCTGCTGCAGGAACATCACAATCAACCCGAGATCAGTCCATTGACAAGTTCTTGAACAGGAATTATCATTCCAGAACAATGTCAATGAGTAGCTCATGAGTCATAAAATGCAAAGCCGCGGTGTGCAGGGCAAAAGGGGAGCCAGTAACGTTGGAAGAGGTAGAAATAGAGCCACCAAAAGCATCAGAAGTTCGGATAAAGATGCTCTACGCCAGCCTCTGTCACTCTGACATCCTATGCGCCAATGGGCTCCCATTCCCAGTGTTCCCATGAGCTCTAGGGCACGAGGGTGTTGGGGTGGTGGAGAGCGTGGGCGCGGGAGTCACAGAGTTCAAAGAAGGAGACCTCGTCATCCCCACATTTCTCGAAGAGTGCATGCAATGTGAGAATTACAAGTCAGGACAGACCAATGTGTGCACAACGTATCTTATGCCTATGCATGGTCTAATGCCTGACAACACTACAAGAATGTCTCTCGGAGGCCAAAAGTTGTACCACCTATTTAGCTGCTCCACATGGTCAGAGTACACAGTTGTTAATGTCAACTATGTTGTCAAGATTGATCATCCAACTATGCCATTGGCACATGCTAGCTTCATCTCGTGTGGCTTCACAACCGGATTAGGTGCACCTTGGAAGGAATGCAAGGCCGGAGAGGACTCATCCGTTGCAGTGTTTGGTCTTAGCACAGTTGGATTGGGCGCGATACAAGGGGCTAGCATGCAAGGAGCATCCAGAATCATTGGCATTGACAAAAATGAAGTGAAAGCTGCAAAAGGACAGGTTTTCGGGATGACTGATTTTATCAATCCGGATAAATATAATAAATCTATCGCGGAACTAATCAGGGAGGGAACCGGAGGAAGTGGTGTAGACTATTGTTTTGAATGCACCGGAGCTCCACCATTGGTGGCGGAGGCCCTGGAAACCGTTAAACCGGGAAGAGGGACTTTGGTACAAGTGGGCGTAGGGCCTAAGCCGGCTATGGAGGTCTTGTTTTCAACACTCTTGCAGGGTAGAACTGTGAAGGGTTATGCTTTTGGAGGGATAAAAACCAAGTCTGAATTACCCATTGTTGTGGACAAATGTGCTAATAAGGAGATCAATCTGGATGAGCTTTTGACTCATGAAATTTCATTGGATGAAATAGATCAAGCATTTGACTTGCTGAAGAAACCAGATTGTGTCAAAGTACTTATCAAGATCTGAGTGATCTTAGCAACAACTGAAAACAGATTGTATAGCATTTGCTGAACTCATTGATTGTATAAATAAAGTGGAAACATTTTATTGAAAATGTGAAGGATCCAATTACAAGTTCTTTAATTGTGTGAATGACCAAACTACACCACAGGAGGCCTTGGCAAATAACAAGGATAAGAGCATTTTTATTGCAATTTTCTTTGTATAATAAGGATAAGAGCGTTTTTATCTCAAAAATATTTTTCATCCACTCCAATCCACTGGGTTACCCCTTAATAGTTGGAAGGAATTTTTTTGGCAATAAAATTAGTCCGAGGGATTTATTGCAAAATGTGAATAGTCGGGGGGTTTATTGTACTTTGCCCTTTTTATAATAAAAATCTGTCTTTCTTGCCCACTATTTATTGCTGTAACACTTTACTCTCCAGTCTCCTCTACCTAATCCATGTCTCTCTCCTCTTCCCTCTCTGGTATTCTCTCTCTCCTCTCCACCTACTGCCTCCCCCCCACCCCACCCCACTCCAAAGATCATAAATATATACATACATATATGATATATCCGTACATATATATGATGGTTCCACAAGCATTTCTTCAAGAAATAAACCTTTTTGCCTCTTTGAGGAGCCCCGCTATCCCCAAACAATCAACTATACAAGCATAATGTTTCAACTATGCAATCACAGCATGATCCTTCATCATGTTATGCTATGTTTGGGACCACCAAATTGGCGTCTTGGATTTGAAATGAGAGAAAATTCAGTTCCAATTCCAAAACACTGTTCCAGTGCTGCCAAATGCAACATTACTGTTTTTGTGCCCAAGAACTGCATTTGAACTTTGGAATGATAATATAATCCAGATTCATCAAGCAACTGGCCTAAAATTAAATAAGCACTGAAGCATGCTTTTTGAAGTTGGCTCTGCTGTTATAAATTATAGTTCCCAACTAGGCTTTAAATACTTCAAATGTTGTGATATGATTGACAAACTGGTTTTTTACTTATCAATTCATTTTTTGGCAGAGCAAAAACAGATGAATTAATTAAGATCTTAATAAATTCACCTTGCCTTCAATCCATCATTCCTAACTTGGATTTGAATACTACTCACATTACACTATTGACCCTGACTACAGTCACTCTTATTTATGAGCGCAATAAAATTGAAAGTAGTGTTCCATACCAATAGCTTAGTTCAACTTCAAGTAATATGTCTTCCTTTCCAATGGAAGGTTGAGGGTTGAGTACCTAGTATGGAAAACAAGTGCATGATTATTACTTATTTATCAAAAATAGAGTTTGATCCTGGCTTAACGCTAGCTATATGCTTAACACATGCAAGTTGTTCTTGGGGAGCTATGCAGAATGAATAAAAACCTGCGCCATAGGGGATCAGGGTTCTTATCAGTCTAATACCTCTGAAAGTATCTCAACTCTTTGAGTCAAGTTAGCTTTTTTACCGAGCCGAGCTATTCTACAAGCTAAAAATGGAATGCCTAGGGATCCCCTTTTCTGTCAGTATAAAGATGCAATCTCCTCAGAAAAGCAAATTGATTCAGTAGTTCATTTGTAAGAATGCATACTTCTAAGAGAAAACTCAAAATCACACTAATTGGAGTTAACTCAGCAAGTGTACCGTGTTACTTGGCAAGTTAAGTAACAAAGCTCCAGTAAAAATACCGGGATAAATGAGCGTTTTGATTATAATCTGAAATGACCATCACCCAGAAACCTAAATCCCCTGCAAAATCAATCAGACTGACAACAACTAGTGACAAACCATAATATGCCATAACATACTCTATGCAGTTGAAACAATTTAGAAAATTTTCAGTCTGGAAGTATGATTGTCAACCTTCTTTTTTTTTAGCAAGTAAAAGCTTTAAATATCATTTGAACCTTCCTTTCTTTTCTATTTTAATACAGGTATCAAACTTGTAAATTTCCTAGCATGTTTTTGACACATAAAATGCCATCACATTACACAACGATAAGTAACAAGTGAATCAGTAAGAGTGCCGTATTCCTTTCTTTTCTTTTTTAAAACTGCTATCAAACTTTTATAATTCCTTCCTATAGCATGTTTTCACCACATAAAATGGCATCACATTATGCAGCGGTAAGTAACAAGTAAATCAGTAATAGCACCATTGGAAGTAACTTTCACCACACTTCCCTTCTCTAGTCCATAGTACCTGGCAATCGCATCATCCTCCAGCATTCGAGGAAGCTGAAAAACAAAATTTACAAAAATGGCAGCCAATAGTTAGGTCAATTATATAAAGAATGATCTCATTCACTGAATGAGAAGACTATATTTTTAGGAAAGCATCATTCTTTGACAGAAGCATACATGCTGTATCTGTTAAAGGACTAAGTAGTTTCAAGTCTTAAGACATTTAATGCAGTAACTGCGCTAATTTCCCGAAACTACAATAAAAGATATTCAATAAATCAATCAAAACCTACAGAGTTTCAAAAACAAAATAAAAAATGAATAAAGTGAAAGGCTGTTCACATTTGCATTTTTCAGTCTTATATTTAAACATGTCCCAAGTAAAACAATGAAGAAACTAAAAATATTTATTCATAAAGTTTAACTTAATGTAACAAGCACAGAGTGGTTTCTAACTATAAACTCTTGGAATGATCTTTTATTTTTCTTTAACTAATTTTTTAACCAAAGCTAAAATGGAGCCAATCATAAGAATCACTTGCACCCCAAATGTTGTTAAGCAGCCTAATTTAAAGAGGTGAGTGCAACATTAGGTGTCATTTGCACTTCCCAAGCAATTATTTGTCTTTGAGCCCAAAAAAATGACAAAAATACCAAATTACCCCTGCAATCCATTACGATATGGACTGAGTTTCTTTTGGTCGAAGTATTACATAAACCAAAATTAAGAACACAAATCTTTCAATACTAATATAACATGAAAAACTTTGTAAAAACTCCTCTTTTCCTTTCAACTGAAAGAGTGGAAGAAGTTTCATTACATTTGTAATACTGTAATCTCACTGCATGGGGCTCAATTTTAAAAGTTTAACATATGAAAAGATTAAAATCATCCCATTAGTTTCCACAGCCATGGAACACAAAGATTTGACCTATAAAACAGAATACAAGGGAGCAAAAGACCTTAAGTAGCTCCACTTCCAAATCCAATAAAAATGAATAAAACAGGTCTTTTGAAATGGCAACATGCAACATGATAAAATAAATTGCCTTTCCAAGAGATATCCAGAGACTGCCAGAATCCTTTCTCATCCTATGATGGTCTTGTTCGAATTCACTAGATAGATTTTGTTCCCTATTTTAGATGACAAATTAGTCTTTAGAATGCATCCCCTAAAAATTCCACTGGGCTGAAGGTCAAGGGTAGGTGGACACTGTGCATCTAGGAGACAGCCATGTGAGTGTGATGAACCTAGGTAAAACTTAAGAAGACTCCATAGTCCAATCAGGCCTTGTTGGGGAAGTGGTTAGAATATGCAGTTTAGCAGGACATCTGCTGAAGGAGAATGATAGTGGTGTAGTATGGGATGGTTGAGGCAGATGGTACACTGGGGGAGCTTAATCGCCCATTTGGTGTATATGGATAGGAATAAGGAAGGGCTGGGAAGGGGTATCGATACACTGTCATTTTACAATTGGGTGAGTTAACTGGAGAGATTCTGGCTAGATATATCGTGCGGATGCAATATATTGAGAAAAGCCTTTCCCTACTCTTTTTGGGATTGCGTTTGACAAGGAAGCTACAGAGAATGGAAGGACTATCGCAATGATCCAGGATTAGGACTCTATGAATCAGCTAGCAACTCTAGTCTTGGCAATCAAAATCACACCAAATGACCAAAATAAATTAGGAACTTGAAGAACATTTCAAATTAAAGAGAAAAAATATTTACTTCATGCTATTCAAATGGCAGTTGAACTTGTAATTTTATAGAGAACAGGGATCTGTTCCTAACTTCAGTTTCTAATTTTCAAGTAGCTATAAAAAAGAATAATCAATCACCTTCAACAGAGACGGAAGAAAAATACTCATGAAGATCAATTTATTTTCTTAAAAAAGCTCTCACCCTACTCTTTACGAGTAAGATCAATTTATTTAAAAAAATTATTGCACCATATCAGGATCTTTTACATCGTAATACATATTAAGGTCAAACAAGCACCAATGTCCATCATGAAAATGTGAGCATTCACTGAAGAAGCAAATGAGTACCTTTTTCTAAATAGTCAGTACCACTATAATTAGGGACAAGTTCTTTAAATAATAAAAACCTGTTTGTCTTCCACTTTATATTTCTCTAGCACCTTTTGCTTCTCCTCAGTGGTTAGAATCTCATACTTTGGCTCTAAAACATGCTTCGTGACATTGACCAACAAGTCGGTAATCTGGAAAAACCAAGTCATGATATGATGTCAGAACTTAAAATGAAGTAAACAGTTTCTCAAATGAGAAGAAGATAAATTAGTTCATTTCCCAATTTCCTAGTCAGGGATTATAATCAATACAAATTTTCTTGTACTTCATAAATATGAATCAAGATGATAGCATGCCTTAGTGATATATTTCAAGACCTAAGACCTGAAATCTTTGTAAGACTCAAATCGTGAATATTTATTTTTATTTTATAAATTTCAAAACCTATGTAACTCAAACCATACTAAGTTGAAAATTTTATACTAGCACTCTCTGCCAGATTTCATCTTTGCCAGTTTAAAAGTTCTATGTTCCAAAATGCAGCATCAAGTTACATAAAGACTGATTCCACATAAACTAAAGACAAACATGTTTAATTAAGATAGACCAGACGTTTCAATTCCGAGAGAAGGGGGAGGAGGTGAGTATCAACTAAAAAAAAAAAAAAAAAAAATTCAGCCATTTCCTAATTTTTGAGACTGTACTGTACTTGTTTTACATTAGGTGACTATTAGTGACAACATAACATGTCAACAAGGAATCAAGTACAGTACAAGATTTAATCACCTAATGTAAAACACCTTTCATAAGAGGGAAAATTTTGGTCCTCGTCATTGTTGCTAACAGGCGTATTGAAGATTGAATGAATTTTGAGTTCTTTAAATTGAATGAATTTTGAGTTCTTTAAATTTATATTATGCATTCAGCAAAGATATAAATCACAAAGTTAAAGTTCATTTACAATTTCGCTTGTTCTCTTTTCTGCCATTTCCTTTTTCTTACTACTTGTTCCACACATCAAAATCAACCAAAAACACAAGGCAAGCTAAAACTATCAATCTGTAAGTTGTGTGCAATGACATTTTTACCATTGATCTGCTCGCAAACTACTTTTCAACCTTTCAAACTGTTATTTACAACTTTTCTTTAAAAAGCACCTTGAATCCTCAATACTATACATAAGCCTGTAGAACTGAACTTTGTGTTGCTAAATTAAGAAGGAGAAGTGAGGATAGGAACACAAAATCCTTCAAAGGCTTCAGTAGCTACTAAAATCTTCTAAACTAATCAACAAGGTATCTTCATTGACTAACGTTTATCTTGCTTGTTTTTTAGTTTTTTGGTATATAAAGTTGTGCATTAATATATTATATAATTAAAAGGGGGGAAGGGGAGCATTGGCGGCCATCACCTACAGGCTACAGCCCTCTCCTCTGCTGGGGACTTCCACGGAACAAAAACGAGAGGCACCGTTGCATGCTCAAAAACAAGGGGTGAGAAAACTTGAATAAATCAAGCAATTTCAGAACTACAACTGACAAAAAAAAAAATTCTAACAAATATGTCATGGTATGTCAAATTGTTCTCATCCTCTACTCCAGGATAGTAGTATCATTTTCAAACTCCTCTGGACTTCCATCATTCCAATAAATCTCCTAAATGCTCTTCTCTTGCTAGTCACCACAATTGCCACTCTACACCCTTGTCATTTCACAAAACAATTTCACCCCCACCAACAATGAACCCATGACATTAATTGACAGTTAAGTTTGAGGTAATCAAATTTTCTCAATTTGATTTTCTTAGCAATGTCCTTGACGAAAAAAAAGAACAACTTAAATTTAAGTGGCACTTATGTACATTTTCCCTTGCAGCAGCTATTATTACAATTTTCAAATTTCAAGTGCCAAAGAACTTACTAGCATAAGCAAAGGTCAAGAATCTTCATTTCTTCTATCAGATATAATGATTTACTAGTCAATAACACTCATAAAATTCAAACAGGACTGCCTAATGAACTTAACAAATTCCTCGGACCTTTTAAAAGAACTGAAGTGCAGAATTTAATTTGGGTGGCCGTAAAGTAACTTACTTTGAAAGTCTCAACTTTGATTGGATACTCATCCACTACTTTCCTAGCATAGGGATTCATTTTGTTTTGCAAAATCAACAACACCCGGTGCAAGCTGTCTTTGTTGGCAATCTGACTGAGAATGCCAACAATATCTTGTTTTCTGATCTCTTCAGTTCCACAAAAGATAACCAGAACCTGGAAAACAATACCCCCAAAAAAATCATATCGTACATTCATAATAATAAAAAAGAACATGAGCTAAGGAGGTACAGTTCATGCTCCAGACAGGTAAAACAGAGAGACAGCAAACTGATACCAAAGATAAAGCTTTGAGGAAACGAGCGTAGGAGATTTAAAACAACTGCCACAAATTAAATTCGCATTCAACAATATGGAAACATGTTAATTGTCAAAGTTTCATGTTATTAACAAAAGTATCCCACAGTGTGGTCTTCACTGAAATTCTTACAGTGACTTCTCTTTCCTACCTTCATATCTATATATACACATATATATAAATAAAATAGTTTGGATGAGAAAAAGCCTACAAGACTAATTAACATGAAAAACATATTCATTATCTTTCATACTCCAAACCCCCTAGTCACCAAAAAACAAAATTAAGAAAAATACAGAAAATAAATTTTGGTTCACATGGTATGTCAACTTTATTTCAAGTAAAGAACAAAATAAAAAGAATTGACTACCAAGAACAGTAGTCTAGTGACATCTCCTTAATCTCCCAAAGTGTGAGAAGTGAGGGTTCAAGTCTCCAAGACAAATAGGTGTGTAAGTTTCTTGTCAAAGAAAAATAAAATAAACAAAAAAGAATACTCACCAAAAACTTTATGTTTGGACATTGGAAAAATAAATTATAAAAGGAAGAAAAAGAGGGGTAAAAAGGAATGAAGGTATCAATTTCTAAGGTCCAAGTAACAAAACCCATTTCTGATTTCATTTCATTTCCAATATTTTCTCAACGAAGAATCCAATCATTGACTCGATTATCATGAAATCGTATACATAGAACAACTCAAGTTTTCAGTCATTACTCAAATCCTGTATAAATGAACTTGAATATGATTACTACTACATCCTCTCATTCATATCACCGTATACACACACATATAATCAAACAATACGAACAAGTCCCCTTAAAAAACGAAATTACAAAACAGAGCACAAAATAAGAAAAACGAACACACAAAAATATGTAGTATGACAGAACTCTTATATGTGAGAAACCCTAATATCTACTATAGAAAATGACTCAATGTTCGATACCTTTTTGGAGGGTTTCGAGCCGTGTGAGACGCAGAAGCGGAGGCGTTCAAGGTCGGGCTTCTCGGTGAAGATAGAACGGAACTCAGTGAGTGAAATGGTGAGTTCGGCGTCGGAGACGACGTAGCCTCTGTCTCTGAGCATTTCGAGGACCGTTCGACGAGCCAGGTAGTACCTGTGGCTCTCGACGCTCCCGTAGTCGACGAAGCTCGTGATGCAGGGCGGCTTTCCGCCGCAGCCGCTGGTGGTGCCGCCGGTGGAGTACATTCTCTCTCTCTCTCCTTTCTCTCTCCTGCGTACAGTGTTTTGGTAGCTCCGGTGCGAGAGGTGTGGGAAGTTGTTTGGTAATATATGGAAGGAATGCGAGTCGCTTCTGTACGAGGTATCAATATGAAGATTGCCTAATATAGTATGTACTCGCTCGAGTAGGTAATTATTTCTATACTCTCTCTCAGTTTTTGTTTGACAGCTATTGATTGTGGGCCCAGGCCCCAACCTTTTTGTTTGGACATTGAGAAAAGAAATGACAGAGGGAAGAGAAAAGAAAGGAAATGAGGGGTGATTTTTTGAGATATGTTACTATATTTGGTATAAAAAATGACGGAATATTGAGTAAATTATTGTTTGGTGTCATTGGTTAGAGAAAATAAAAAAATAAAAAGGAATGGTGAAGCATCTTCTAGGACCCTAGTCATATAAACTGGTAATAAGAGCGAAAGTGAATTCAAAAGCGGGAGTGCGGTCTAAACGTAAGAGTGACACCAATTGAGAAGGATTGTGTGATTTAGCTGGAAACAACATTTTGCTTGAATTCAAATTTGACAAAAAATGGAAGGAGAGAAAAAATAATTAATTAAATATGTTTGGCAAGAGTTAAAATACGTTAATATTCATTTAAGTGTGTTGATTTATATATTTAAGGAAATGGTGGTAAAATAATACATCCACTTTTTAAGTGAACTGGCATAGGTTTTTTAATTTCATAAACTATCCATTATCACCTCACATTTTAAAAATACCTTCATCTTTAGAAAAACTTTATAATTAGTACCATTGTGAATTTGAAATTTAAATCATTGTTTTAAATTGATGTGGATTCACTTTTAAATATACTCTTATCTTTTAAAATAATTACAATTATTGTCATTGTAAATTTGATTTAAATTGATGGCGTTAATTATAAATTTGTTTTAAATGAGAATTTAATTAAAATTGAAGGGATAATTACTGGCTTGTCAAACAACACTATGATAGATTTAAAAAACTAATAAAATAACACAGATCTACGGATTCAAGGTCTGACCTCAGATGAAAATGTGTGTAAGTACTTACCTAATTAAAATATAGGATTAATTATACTCACGTCTCTTGAGATTTGTTATATTAATAGTCAAATGACAGTGAGCTAATTTTTGAATAATGACAACCCGTCATATTTTGAATTCAAAAATGGATGAAATGCCTACTATACCCTTTAATATTTTATTCATATTTATTTTTAAATATTAGATACATTAAATAACCAAAATATCCTTTTCTGAAAAAATATATATATATATATCTATACTCTCTCTCTCTCTCTCTCTCTCTAACCTCTCAAGTCTCAACCTCTCTTCCATCCCATCATCACTACCACAACCCGCCGCCTCCACCGTCCACCCCTTACCACAACCCGCCACCACTACCGTCCACCCCTTCTTTTTCTCTCCACTCACCACCACCACCAAAATATAAATATATGTTAACCACTCCAATCTATTATATGTATGTACATAGATATATATATATAGTTTGTATTTCGAATCTGCAATACTTATATATGAACCTTTAGATTTATTTATGTATATATATATATATATATATATATATATATATATATAAATTTGTATCAATTCAAAGCCCCAATTTTTCAAGGCTATCAGAGGATTCCAGAGACGAGATTTGTAACAGTAAGAATTTCAATGGCGTATTAAGAGGAGGATTTCCTGATGGTGCTGAGGATGAGTGCCACAACATGAGCCGGACTACAGGGCTCTGGCAGGGTGTGTATGTGTGTGAGTATATGTATGTGTATATATCTATCTATCTATATATATATTTATATATATGAAGGGAATTCGGGTCGATGTATCGAGCTCCGCGTGATTGTATGGTTGTTCAGTCGCCTGATCTTCAAGATGGAAAGGCCATTGTGGAAACTGTGAAATCTAAGGTCTTTCTTTTTCTATATAAGCTCACAATTTACAGTGAAGATTTGATATGGTTTTTCAATATAATTATGGGTTTGTGGACTTGCAATGTGGGATATTATAGGCTTAGATTATTTATGAGAGGTTTGATACACTTCTTCATCTGTATTTGAAGTTTTACACTGTCAAGGTAATATATTTTTTTTTTTTGAGAAACTTGATAATTTCTTTTCTTTTATAAATTATGGGTTTGAAATTCAAAATTGTAGAACTTGAGAAATGGATAACCATTAAATGATGGTTTTAGTACATTCATATGCAACCCATGGAGTTCGCAATGTGTATATATATTTTGCTTTTGGTTCTTTGTTGTTATGGATTCATATGATTTTGTACACGGTATTTATATGCAGGGTTAGTTTTGTTCATTAAAATAAAAAAAAAAAGGTTAAAATGGTAATTTTAGTCATTAACAAGTCAAAGTAATAAAGTCAAGTTACCTTATGTCAAACATGATAAGAGTGTTATTGTAAAATAATAAAAAAGTTAAAACGATAATTTTATTCAATAACAAGTCAAAGGGTAATAAAGTTAAATTATCTTGTGTCAAAGATGATAAGAGTGTTATTGTTAATTTTATCAAGCTAAAAAAAGTGTCATTGTGTAAAAATATGTCAATTATCATTTGACTGTTAATAAAGTAAATCTTAAAAGGTGTGAGTATAATTAACACTGTATATGACAATTCCGATCCACAAAATCACTCTTGTCACATTTTTTTTGATTTTTATTTTTATTTTTAGTTTTTTAATCCTAAACTATCATATCACTTCACATTTTGATTACACCCTCATCTTTACAAAAATTGATTTAAATCATTGTCTTAAATTGACTAGGATTCACTTTTAAATATATCCTTTATCTTAAAAACAAAACAAAAAACAAAAAAAACAAACAAACTACAACTGGTGCCATTGTAAATTTGAAATCTAAAATAAATGATTGTGATTTAAATTGATGGTGCTAATTGTAAATTTGTTAAAAGGATAATTTATTTATACAAAAAAAAAAAAAAAAAAAAAAAAAAAAAAAAAAAAAAAAAAAAAAATTGAAGGGATGATTAATAGCATGTCATCCAATACTTGATAGGTTTAGAAAATAAACATGTGACAATCGTGTGATTGACTTTCTAGACATTCACGAATTAGAAGCCCAAGTTAGACATGCGTATCAGTAATTACCTAACTAAAGAATATATATATAACTTTTGGTGGTCACTATCTATTGGATTTTAATTTTCTTCCTGCTATTTCTACGGTGAGAAGTGCTAGCGATTGTTGCACCACTGTCACGGCAGTGATTAGCTAGAAATTCAATCACTTTTGATACTTTTTTTTTGGAGGGGGGAGTGGTCATATTATTTTTTGTGGTTTTTTAAGCCTAAAAAAATTATGACCATTGCCATTGTAAATATGACATTTAAATCATTGTTTTAAATTGATGAGGATTCACTTTTAAATATATCTTTATTTTTTAAAAATATATGTATTACAACTATTGCAATTGTAAATTTGACATCTAAATGATTGTGATTTAAAATGATGGCGCTAATTGTAAATTTTTAAAAAATGAGTATTTATTTAAAAGTGAAGGGATAATTAGTAGATTATCAAACAACACTTTATATGTTTAAAAATAAAAAAACTCACTTGCAAATAAATAAATATATAATTCACAAACACGTGACAACTGTGATTGACTTTCTAGCAAATCATGAATTCAAGACCTGACCTTACCGAATCAAAGAGTCCACTATTTTTGTTGATCTGAATTTTCTTTAATAATGATTCCTCCTATTTGTACAGTAAAAAGTTCTAAAGATTGTGCCACAAGTTATCAGCTAGAAAGTCAATCACTGTTGCCACTTCTTTTTGGTGGGTGGTATTTATTAATTTCTTTTGGTTTTTTAAACCTAAAATATCATTGTCACTTCACATTTTAAATATACCCTAATCTTTAAAAAAATTAAAGGACCAGTGTCATTGTAAATTTGATTTTTAAATCATTGTTTTAAATTGACGAGTATTCACTTTTAAACATGCCCTTATCTTCATAAAAAAAAGAAAAAATTATAATTAGTGCCACTGTAAATTTCAAATTTGATATCTAAAAAATAAAATAAAAAACATATAATCCATTCACCAATGTTATGTGAATGAATTCTGAAAAAAAAAAAAAAAAAAAAAAAAAAAAAAAAAAAGTTAGATAAGATAATTCATTCACAAGAGATGAATTCTAAGGAAAAATAAATAAAAAATCCATATATATACAAGATAGATTCTAAGATTTTTTTAAAAAAAATACAAAATTAGTTTTATATATATATATATATATATATATATATATATTTACAACTATTTTGGTGAATGAATTATTTCCTTTTCTTTTTTAAAAACCCATTTATACAAGGATACTTGTAAAAATAAAAAATAAAAACAAAAAGAAACATATATATATATATATAGGAAAAAACAAAAAAGAAAAGACAAAAAAGAAAAAAATATATTCACTCTAGTTGTAAGAAGAAATATATGATCGATCTCAAAATCTATCTTGTACGATTTTTTTCTCGCTCTTTTTTTAACCATTCTTTTTATTCTTTTCCCATTTTTTTTTTTTTTTCTCTTCTCAAGATCCATCCATCTCTTGTGAATGGATTTTCCTATCTATATATATATATATATATATTTTTGAAAATGTAACAAAACACTATTTATTTTATTGTTTATATATATAGAGTATATATATACACGCACACATTTTCATGTGGATTGATTAAAAGAGGTGAGAATAACAAAAGTTAGCTAATTTAAAATATAGTACTTTTGTCTTAAAAAATTAATGCCAACAGGAACCAAATTTTATTTTTATTTTTTATATTAAATATACTAAAAGTATTATAAATTGTTGTCGGGACCCGAATTCGAATCATTATTTGGTCCTTAATCAAAATGGAGGACATCATTAATTGGAAAGGGTTTACAGGGTACACATATAATTCCGTATACATGTCTCTAATAGGTCGTTCAGCTTGTATTTTATAGGTGTAAGATTTCATTTGTCAGACGAAGGAGCTGAGAGTAGGCTTTGTGCGTGTGAGAGGCAGAGAGAGAGAGAGAGTGAGAGGTCCTCAATGGAAGAGAAGGGAAAGGGGAAGAAGCGATCCTCCAAACAATCATCTTCTCGTTCGCATATAAACATTATTGACGATGGCTGTCTCATGCACATCTTCAGCTTCTTATCCCCCTATTCAAGGTATACATATATATATATATATATATATATATATATGTATGTATACTATACACACACATTTTGGAACATTAATTCTTCTTGTTAGTCCAATTCTCAAATTATGTAAAGACCCAATATTTCATCTATAAATGTGTGTAAAAAGGTGAAACCTTTCTTATAAAGCCCTAATTTCTGTAAATTTATCTTCTTGTAGTTTAGAATGAACAATTGGGTGTAATTCATTGAAGAAAGTTCATTTGCCAGTGTAAAGATCGGATTTTTTTTTTAAATTTCTTGTTTCATTTTTCTAGCTTAGTTTATTCAATGGTCTCTAGAATGTTGTATCAGTTCTTTTTTTGTTTTTGTTTTTGTTTTTGTTTTTATTTTTGGAATTCTACGCTTGTTTTAATTGGATTTTAATATTGGGTCCTTATTATACCACTTTGGTGTCCCAAAATATTGTGTCAGTTGATTGGTAGTACTTATAGGATCTATTAGCTGTGAAGTATTGGTTCAATTATTTTGACTTTGGTAGAAGTTTATTTATTTATTTATTTTTTGATAGATTTAATTTTCGTAGAAGTTGAGGTAGATTGCGACGATTTGATGAGAGAAAGTCTTGACAATAATAATATTGGTAAAATTAAGGGAAAATTTATGTCACGCCTCAAAAAATTCTAACGCAAGAACCCTTGTCTTATACTAAAACTTGGTACGTGACTCATATCATTCATCCACCATAATCCATGATTAAATCAATAAGAAAATATTTTTATTCAAAAATCTATCAATCCGAATGAAATTTATTACATCCCCAACTAATTCAAAATTCCACCAACTAAGTGGATCTTATTACAAAGTGTTCACTAAGAAACAATAATAAAATCATAATGTAGAAATCCGGAAATCTCCTTCTCTCACTGAGCCTCCTTTGCAAGCTAATCCATATGCACCTGAAAGTAATAAAGGGGTGAGCTCACAAGCTCAGCAAGAAATTGCTAAACACTATCATTGTTCAGCAAGCTAATCCTTACTTAAAATCCGTATATATATACATATATAAGTGACCGCGAAATATCTACTAATTATCGTCATTCTATGATATTAACTCAACCTGTGAACTTGTAACCCATCTAGAATTTAAATTACTAAAATTCCCACTTACCTCACACGAGCCCTTGGCTCCCCTCAATCAGTTGGCGTTTTTAATACCATTACCTCACATGAGCCCCTGGCTCCACTCCGAATAAATGGTGTGCATTGCATAGTCCCTGACTACCAAATACACACATGTTTAAATAATTTCTACTCATAATATCATGAGTTTATCAACCACCTTAATTAATAATTAATTAATTAATTAATATTAACATACCAGTACCAACTTAATAATCCTAATTATAAAAAATTGTAAACTTATATTCTAAATTTCAACCTCAATATCACTCCAATTGTTCTGCCATTAATTGTATATAATACTCCATAATAAACAGAACCAAATCCATGAATTCCACTCAAACATAACGACAAGTGTAACAATCTATTTCTTATTGTCGTTCTACCTTACAGTTACTAATCGATTCCATTGTTTTGGATCATTTTTGTATTCCCAAAGAAGTCCCTACTTCCCTTTAAGCTTCAATCTCAATCAAACTTAATATATATAGCACACATGTATATATATAAGTGCATACCTTGGGACAATAATGCAAACCCAATAATTAACTTTAAGTGAGTGCACAACTTATCATCACTAAGTTCATTCTCTTATTCTGTTATTTCCACACACAAAGGATATATTCTTACCCAGCATATCAGAACGTGAATAGTGTCAAACTCCACCAAATTTACTACATAAATAACACCCAAGTGGTGGACCCCACAAGAACACATTTCCATTTCTTCTCCCCACCACAATTTCGGCTGCTAGCATGCATGTGCACTAATATATATATATAAACTGAATTTGGCTTGTGCGGGTGCCACTTAAATGAATGTCTAAAGAGGTTGATTTGGTTTTTGATAATATATATATATATATATATATATATATATATATATATATATATATATATATATATATTATCAAAAACCAAATCAACCTCTTTAGACATTCATTTAAGTGGCACTCGCACAAGCCAAATTCAGTTTTCTCTTCATTCCACATTCCAGGCTTCTACGGATTCCTTGCCTTTTCTTTCATATTTCCTTTACTAAATTAGCACTAAAAAACAAAACTATCATTAACCCTAATTACTAAATTTCTTTTATAACCCAACAATCAATCAGTATAAATCTATGCTAATATGCACCTCCAAATAAACAAAAGAAATAATGAAATAGATATAATTTCTATTCAATCAATAATTGTTGTATAATCTCCATATCACTAAAAAAATAAATATCATTAGTCCTACAATTAAATCATATCTAATAATCTAACCATTAATACATGAATAAATACAGAATTAGAAGCAAGAATTAACTTGCCTGATAATGGAATCTGCTTAAGCCTCTTCGTTACTCACAGAATAGTATTGCCCGTAAAAAAAATAATGTCGATACACCAAGTCTAGATATATATCTAGTAGTTGAGTTCTATATGCACTCTTAAAAAAAAACAAAAAAAAAATCAGCTAAACTGATAGCCTGATATCTCTCAAATTCCGTTATACGATAACCCTCGTAATTCCACATAGATATATATATTATATGAATAAACATGAATTCAAAAATTTTAAAAAAAAAAATATATATATATATATACAATATATATCTGGTTGTTACAATATAATATTGGCGAAGACTTGGCACTGAATAGTGGGTTGGAAAGGGGAGTGATCAGGGACCCCAAAATTGTGTGCGCTGAACATGTTCAACCACAATGGACATGTGAAATCCTGTTATGAACTTGAACTTTTGAAATTACCAATGAAAAGAAAATATCCATGACCTTGGTTGGCGACCTTCGTTGCATTTGGGAGGGGTGCCCGCCTAAGGTCTACCCAAGTAGTGGAGCCTACATCATAATTTGTGGTAGTGGCGGCCTGCGCTCGCTGCCTATTATTTCCTTGAAACATAAAAAATGAAATTTAGATGTCTGGATTGTTTGTATCGGTCATGCTACGGTTTGTGTGTTCTGAAAGTTTTTGTTAGCTTTGATATATGCATATATGATCTTGTTTGGTCTCTGTCACGAATTACTGTTGAGTTGCAGATCGGCATAACACGACCTCGTTTGCCACAGATGGAGTTACCTGGCATGTCATCCTCGCCTGTGGCTATGTGTAGATCGATCTGTCCAAGATTTATCTCAACCTGGAGTTTTCCCTAACATCGAAACAGCTGTCTCTGCTGCAAGGTTAGTAAAGTTGCATTTGCTTCTATTTCATGCGTGGATTATTATAGCATTTATACCTGATCAAAGACTTTGGGCATTGCAGGCCTGGTGACACCATTCTGATTGCGGCAGGAGGGATTCATGTTGCTTGTAATATTCAAATAAAAAAGCCCGTTTGCTTGGTATGTTGAAAACTCTTCTCCTGTAAATGTCACTTTAGTCAGTTGGTACCCTATGGGAGTTTGATTTTTAAAAATTGTAAATAGTTGGGAAATGCTGGAAATTCTATTTTTTGAATAATTTTATCCAAAAGTTCAGAATGGCTGCCATTTTTCCTGCCCTCTTTATGATAATAGGTCATATCCAAATTAATAAGGTATTATAAAATCAAGTTAGCTACCGTTTCATGTTTTTTTGAATGCTGTAGGTTGCATTCAGCTCCGAGTGGCTGTGGTATACCCTATATTTTGCTGGGTCTTGGCCATTCTTTCTTTTATTGTGAAGTTTTTATGTTGAAAGAAGTATTCAAAGTGAATTTAACTTCTTATCCCATAGGAACAACAAATGGTGTAAGAAAATGTTAATTGTACTTTCTAGAAGGAGTTTTCACTTAATAAAGGCTTTTTCAAAATGAGTGTGTCATGACAACATCCTCTTTTCCTTTTAGGTTTGAAGCATTATTGATATAATCTAATATTTTCATTTATACTATTAGCGGCCATGGGCACTTTTTTATTTACACCAATAAAATGGTTTTACCATATTTCTTTTAAACTCTCACTCAAGGTTTTCGGGATGACTGATTTTTTCAATCTGGATAAATGTGATAAATCTATCGCGGAACTAATCAGGGAGGGAACCGGAGGAAGTGGTGCAGACTATTGCTTTGAATGCACCGGAGCTCCACCATTGGTGGCGGAGGCCCTGGAAGCCGTTAAACCGGGAAGAGGGACTCTGGTACAAATTGGCGTAGGGCCTAAGCCGGCTATGGAGGTCTTGTTTTCTGATATTGTTGAGAACAAAACAATGTGGGTCAAACATGCTGTGGACTCAAAATGGGCTACTATAACGGGCCTGAAACACTTCAGAATAGTACAGAACAAACACCAAACAGGGCCTGAGTGTTTCTGAATTGTGTGTTTATTAATTGAATTAAATGCATGTGAGTGTATCCCATTTGTGTTCACTTGCCCACCAACTCCAACACATACATGTATTCTGAGTGTGCAAGAGATATTAGAGTTGTCAGAGAGTCATCTACTGGCCTCCTCCCTAATTATGACACCAGAATTCACAACCTATCAATCGATTAGTCTCATTTATGTATTTTTATATATTAAAACATGATTTGAATTTTTTCTCAATAGATTATACAAACCACGAGAGCAATAAACATAGAGAATTCCAAACTAAAGTTCTTAAGTTAATCTAATGAATGTTGTCTATCATAACTAACAATTGCTTCACTCTACAAAAATATACACCCATATGATAATAATTTAGTGACAAAAGAAATATTTTTCTCAATAGAATATACAATTTGTAATATATATATATATATATATATATATATATATATATATATTTCAAGCACACACTGGTCTTAGAGAATGAGAAGTGGGGTGGTTTATAATATTTTGAAAACCAAATGCATGATTCATATTCTCCATATCATAAACTTTTTTTAAAACTATATATATATAATTAACATAAATAAGAATTTGAACTAGGAAGGACATTTGTTCACACTAAACGTCGGGCAGGGATGAGTAGAAAGGTCAACATAGATTTCAAATAGCCAAAGAACTTTTTCCTAGTTATGATTGTGAATTTAGGCTAACCGGGCGGTTAGAGAGAAAAATTAGAGCTAAGGTTATTCAAAATTTTAAGTTGCCCGAAGCTACAAACAATTTAATTGGTACTAAATAGGAATTAATTCTGACAGTTAACATTCCCATAAATTCTCATTGGGACAATATTTGGGTTAGAGTAGTTGCACCGTTGTAATCACACGTGTTACAACTTTATTGTGACATAGAAAATGAAATGAGCCATTCCAATTTTTCTTTTTTTTATTTTTAATAATTTTTTTTAATTTACAATTAAAGATGATTTGTATATCACATATATGGTTATGATGGTGCAAATATACAATACCATGGTTATTTTACACATGGTATCTGTTCAAAGGAAATACCTCCCCCACCCTCTAGTATATATTATAGTCTAATTATTCAGTTCTTTCCTCAACCTTCTCTCTAGCTTTGATCCATTTGCTAGAACTCATTCTTGCTTCAAACCTCCACATTATCTCACTATATTGATATATATATATATATGCGTGTGTGGAAACAGCTACAGAAACACTAGACTCATGCAATGCTACCACCACTACCACCAACAACAACTACGGCAACAACAACCGTACCTCTAAAGGCCAAGAGTCCCACCCTTCCTCTATGACCACCACCCTAGGCGGCTACCTGGATCACCGCCTTGTCCAAATTGGCATCAATGACATTTTCTCGGTACTAGGTGACTTCAACCTCACGTTGCTTGATAAACTCATGATTGCGGAGCCCAAGCTTAAAAAATTGGCCGCTCCAATGAGCTGAATGCTGGCTATGCTACGAACAGGTATGCAGGGTCGTATGGCGTCGGGGCATGCGTTGTCACGTAACCACGTTCACAGTTGGTGAGCTTAGTGCACTCAATGCCATTGCCGGCCGGTGCTTATAGTGAGAATCTTCATGTCATTTGTGTTGTGGGTGGTCTGTCTGCAGGTAAGTTCTGTTTGGTGTATATATATATATATGCATTTGAGTTTTTTGAAATGAAAAAATGTAATGGATATTGCATTGTAGGTGGTGTTATCATGTTACTGTTTAAATCTATCTCGATTTCATTTGATATTTAAATCCCTTGTATTTTCAATTTTATAATGGATGGCTTAATATATATAGATATATACTATTAATTAATTTATTATTTTTGGCAAATAACTTCCATTATTACAATTGGTATTGTTGTGTTACATATAGACTATTATCAATAACGTGGAAGATGCACGTGAACAAATTGATATTGCAATTTCTGCGACTCTTGAAAGAAAGCAAGTCTGTCTACATTTGCATTAGTTGCAATTTGCCTACTATCCCTCACCCAATTTAATTTTCAGCGATGATCCTATATAGAGGAGATTGTCATGCTAATTAGAGGAGATTGTATTGATGAAAAGATTTGATTTAAAGAATTTAAATATGGTCACTGGTGAGGATTTTATAATAAATCTATTTAAAGAATTTTAATATCCTTAGGGTATTGGTTGGTGAAAGTTTTGGATGCCCAATTGGGTTAGCTAGTACCTTGTAACACTCACTAAGGGCTTGTTGCTCCTTTTACTATCTTCTTTATTAAGTTCTTCTGCATTGGTTTTTTTGTACATTTGAAGAAAATGAATGACCGTACTGACCGATCCATCAATCATTTAAGTATTTTCATGTCACGGACTCACGGACAAGTCCAAGTTCTAGCAAGAGAGACAAAAGTACTCTCTTTCTTTGCATTAATATTGACTAAAGAAAACACAAATGTCTACCAACTTTAAACCATCTAGATATTCCTATTTTGGTTGGAGTAGTTTGAGCTATATATTCCTGTGTTGGTTGAGGATGAGGATGAGGAGGAGTTGCTGCACAGCACTCACTTGGATCCCATCTCCATCTCTTCCGGCTTTGGAATCCACCCTGTAATCAGCTCAGGCTCAGGGTCAGCCTCTGTCATCTCCAGGTCCGGTACGAGAAGATCCGGTATGGAACAACACCCCGGGTAGAAGTACGGCCCCAATACAGCTCCTCGTACGAAGACAAATCTATCGCCCCCACTCAGTACCCCAAGAATTTTGAATCCTAAAAATGAAATCTCAGGTGAGCTTATCTATATCACAGCTCACCACTAATACTGTATGGTACAACCTTTTAAAATTGTCAGAGATTTGTTCATAATAACCGAGTCCTTGAAAAATTCCCAGCACAACCAATATGTTAGTAAAAAAAATTTCAAATCAAGTTTTAATACTAGTATATAAAAATGCATAAATGACAGTAATGATATATTTTGAACTACAATTTTAATTAAAGACAGTTGAATTACCTATCCACCTCTGGTACCATGGAGTTGCAGCTGCAGCTGCAGCTGGTGTTAACCTCCTTTTCAGCCGGCAACACTAGTCATTAATTATTCCATTATAAGAAATCATTCTACTAACATAAATTCAATAAGACATTTTATAATATGAGCAATAAATTAAAATTAAGTTAACCAAATAAATTATATATATACCTTTTCCGAAACTACTCATGCCATTAATTATCCTCTTATAAGAAATAAACCGAATCTGCATCAAATAGACTTTGTCATATCAAAATTTTGTTCAGAGTTAACAAGCAAATAATCATAAATAACATAGACTTTGCAAATTCATAACAAAAACATTTCAAGCTAACTGAGACAAGATGAACTATAAATGAACTTAAAATAGCCAAAAAAAAAAGTAAGTCAGTTAAGGTTTGGAGTTGAGAAATGTTAAAATCACAAAGACAAATATTAATTTAAAGAAACAAAAGCACTTGGATTTGAAGAAATTTACTAACAAAAATGTATATGCCAACAAATTAAGAAAAAGAGAAATTAATTAATTTTGTGTAATACATACCACATGTAACAAGCAGATCGAAGAGAAAAAATGCTACTATGGAGTTGTGATTATGAAATAAAATCATATAAAATAAAAATGAACTAAAGGCATCCAAGAAGAGATACTTACCAGTTGAACATGATGGTGGAAAGAGATAGCAAATGAATGGTTGAACAAGTGAACCACCCACATTTGATTAAGATGGTGGTTTTGTCTCCTGATCAGAAGGTGAAAAAAAAGAGGGCTTGGAGAGGGACAATTTTAGAGAGAGAGAGAGAGAGAGACAAAGTTATAGAGAGAGAAAGAAAGATATATAAGAGAGATGGAGATGAGAGAGAGAGAGGAATGAAAGAGGGAGAGAGGTGAAAGAAAAGGAGGATATGAGAGAGATCCGTAGTCTGAAAGTGCTGAATTAAAATGGTTGCCTTTTAAAGTAAGATGAAAGGCTACATTGGTCTTTTCACCTAATCAACTTTAAAATTGATCGGTCAAGAGGCATGTGATTTTTTGATGTCACGCAGCAGGCATTTTTAACTTTTCAAAAAAGATTGAAAGGGAGAGTGTGGAGTAAAAAAATTTAGGGTTTGAAAATAGTGGAATGCCTATTTAAAAAAGTAAGAAAGAACTGAGAGAGAATGTGCATATATATATATATATATATAGAGAGAGAGAGAGAGAGAGAGCTGAAATAGGGTTGGGACCATTGTAAGGCTACGCTATCAGTAAAATAAACAAATCGGTGTAAGGGCTCTGTGTGTGAGAAAAGAGCCCTCTCTCACTCGGCAAAATAGCTCATATATGCATGAACCAGTACAGCTATAGCTCAGTGAAAGTTTGACAGTGGAATCATTATTGTAACGAAGAGGCTGGTGAGAGATTAAAGAGGTTATTTCCTTGATAAGAGCCAAACATGCTTTTGCCATGGCGAAAATACATAGACGAATAAATGGAAACAAGTTAGTGAAATTGAACCACATGATTTAGCTATACTATATGAAATTTTCTAACAAATTGGATCCATATTCAACCTCTTTAGATCTGAATTCAAAATTAAAATTAAAACTAGTTAAAAATGATTTTCATATTAGATTAATTAAGTCTTAGTTCAAACCTTTTTCATTTCAAGTCCTAATTTTTTAAAGTAAATTTAAGTATCAAAATAATGATAGTAGTGCTACAAAATAATACTTCTAGCATTCCATATTTTTTTTTTTTTTTTTGATGACCCAAAACTTCCTGAAACAAGACCCTTAGGGACCCCATCCCATGGCGTCAAACTGGGGGTAATGTAGCACAACCCCA